AACAAAAAATGATGGAGATGAAAATTATGAATCCCTCCCCTAACTTCCTATCTAATTTTTCTGCATTCTTACTCTAACCCAATTCTCAATTCCGAGCACGTTCCATTGCTTAAATAACTGAAAGGAGCTTCAAAATATATTCTTATTTAAGCCCCATTGCTTTGGTCTCATAGGATTAGTTATGACCAGCAGCAGCCAAATTTGCGGATCATACTCCAACATCGAAATTTAAACCGTATCCTTTGTCACCTTCACCTTCACCACATTTGCTGCCTTTTTGTACTACTGCTTCAAATTGAATTAGCAAATACCTCCGTGGAAAAAATCTCTAAAGACGTCTAATCTCCAAATTGGTGCCCTAATGATTGGAAGACATTGCCGAAGACATTTGTTTGATGGAGTCACAGGGGAGGACATTGCCAGAGAAGAATGTTGTTGAGGGGAAGACACTGCTGGACGACAATGGTGTTGATGGAGAAGGCGAGAATGGGTTGTTTATGGAGTGTGGCATTAAGCAAATTTAGAAGGGTGTTTTGGTAAGTAAATTTTCAATCCTAGGATTAAACTTGCAATACCAAGGGGGGAGGTGGTATGGGTGAATCCCATATGTATGGGATTGAGCAATCCCAAGTAATGACAAGTACCTCATATAAACAACATTAAACTAAGTGATTCCCTACCCAACCCCTCAATCCCACGTACTAAGCTAGACTTTAGGGTTTCCTCAATCACTAGACTCTTTGGCCTATGGCAATAGTAGTGTCATTATTTGATGTTTGCTTCTCCCTCATTTTCACTCTATGCCTCCCTCCCGTTCTTCTTTCCTCTACCTTGTCCTACAGCAGGTGGTTAAGTGGGCATTGGGCAGCAAGGTTTGAAGGACTTCGTTGTTTAAGCACCAAGGAAATATGTTGATTACTGTGGACATGTGGAGGCTAAGAAGTGAACTTCTAGAAGAAGATTGATTAGGCTATTAGATATATATCGGGTTGAGAGAGAGAGAGAGAGAGAGAGAGATGGGTAGAACTTGAGTATTCATGAAGGAGATTTTAGTCCCTAGACAATGTTCTAAAGTCAGATTGGTCATTGAACTGATCAAAATACCGGATCAAGGTTCAATGATCAAATCATAATCGCACTGTGGTAGAACCAATTAAATTGACATTACTATATTTTTGTTTGCATGTATGTATTAAAAATTACTTAAATAACATATTTGATAATATAATGAGATGGAATATAAACAAAAAATAAAAATGTTTAATAAATTTGTTAAAATCTTTTGATAATTCTTATCTTTAAAAATAATAATTATAATTTAAACCTTTGATGATTGTGTTCTTCAAATAATTAAATAATAGATGTAATTTTGTCATTAACCAGTACTGGATTCTTAGCATATCTATCTATGGTCCTTTTCTCCAATGGAATAAAAAATGCTGCATTAATGAAGTCAATGAGGTTATCCATAAATTTATCTTATGGATCTCTTTGACACGTGAAATCATCATCCATTTCTTGTTATTGCAGGTGCTAATAATTTGATTCCAATGGAAATTGCGCTAAAGATTGCTGAAAAGATCAGGGCCAACGAAAGGTTTTGTTATTGTTATTCCAATGTGGCCTGAGGGTGTTCCCACTGGGGCTGCCACGCAAAGAGATCTATTTTGGCAGGTATGCTGCCGTTCACAATATGAAAGCCAATTATTGTACTTGGCAGGAATTTGATTGATTGTGCACATGATTAGACTGTTGTGTCATAACTTTACATTAGAAACAGCTTGAAGGAAGAAATACTTCCACTTGCCTTTTTTTTTTTTAAAAAAATAATATCATGAAACCTAGAACCAAAAACTAGAAACTGCATTATCTGACGTTTTTGTGCAGCAAGATTTGCTTTATAACTGAGAAATATGGACAAAATTCTGCCAGAGAAACAGAGTAGCTCTTACAAATAGATAATAAGAAGAAAATTAGAAAACTCTAGCTATTTCTGACGCTTGGAATTCCCTATCATCTTACCAGCATTTCAAACACCCTTAGTCACTTTCTTCGTCCTTAAAGCTCTCCTGTAACTGTGACTGTAACAGAAGCACCAGACCCAACCATCCTAAAAGCAGTGCATTCCCTCTTTCCTGTTCTGCTCCAAAAATTCCAAGACAACTACCGTGGCATCTACCTGCACCCCTCTAGGCCTTCTAGAATATATCTTCTTAATTGGTGGTTAGTCTTCAATTAATGGCGTAAACTCTTTTCTTGATTGCAATTTGAACATGTTTTTTCTTTCTTTTCTATTACAACTATGATGAAACTTCTAGATGCATACGCATCATTCTAGCTGTCCGTCTGTAGAATGTTTGAGATGTATATGCAAGTCAAGTTTAAGATGCAAAAGAGAAGTAAAAAGAGATTTTCACCAAAAAATATAATAATAATAATAATAATAATAATAGGAGAAGTAAAAAAGAGTTCTGAACACAATTTTTTTCCTTTCAAGTTCAGAGGGGCCTTTGACTATCAATTTCAACCATTACCAACACCAATTGTTTTTGTTGGCAAATGGCTTGCTAGATCTCCTCTACCAATTACTCTCTGCTCTGCATATTTCTAACCCCTCATTATAATGGCCACCTGGTGTTTTTTGTCTAAATTTATGCATGACAACTACTCTGGATGAAATTATCTTCTTAGTGATTTTTCGTAGTATATTAAACTTGGCGCCTGAGTCAGCAGTGCACTTTGGCTGCTGTAAGAATTTAGCTGTTAGTAGCCTTGGGAATTTTGTATTTATATGCAACCTTGGTGTGAGAAATATCCTTGTGGCCTCTAAATTCAAAGTAAATAGAAGAACTACTTTTTCTGTTAATTTTTAAGAAGATAATGTTACTACGGTTATTGGTTTATTGGATTGTTAATCTGGAGTTACTATTTGATTGTGGCAGCATAAAACAATGCAAATGATGTATGAGACAATTTACAAGGCTTTGGTTGAGGCTGGGCTTGAAGAGGCATTCTCACCAGAAGACTACTTGAACTTTTTCTGTCTTGGCAATCGCGAGGTCAATGACACATATGGTAGTGATGCAATGCCTGGAAATCCTCCTCCAGCAAACAGTCCACAGGTATGAGTATTTTGCAGTTCTGCCTAGCGTACACCCTTCCACAATCCAAGCACTTCTTTTGCACTGCGAATTTTAGGATTAGTGTGCTTTTATCCCTAAACTTTTTGAGGTGCAAATACACTAGTTAAATTGTTATTTTTGGAGGAATTATAAGTCTCAATTGGTTGACTTGTTAATCGTATTTGAAGATTTGATCATAATAATATTTAAGTATTATATTTTAATTTTATTAAACACAAAATATTTTTTTTAATTACTTAATGGGGCTATTTTGCCAGTAATGGTGATTCGATAATCACTTGATAGCCAGTCAAAATGGTATTTTGGTCTTCTACAACGATAAAAAATAGCATTAATCCCTTGGCATTTATTTGTGATTCTAGGGCCTTAATCCATTTTATTTTCTTATAAATATTATTTTATAATTCTAGGGCCTTATCTGTAATTTTGTTGTCCGCTAAAGATCAAAATAATGGGGGTGTAACGCAGTGGTAACATTGCACCTTTTTTAATACTTAAGGGTCATCGTTGCACTACCCTTGACTTTAGGATAATCAGTGTACCTCAAAAAAAAAAAAAAAAAAGGTTCAAGGATAAAAATACACGTTAACCTTGAATTTTTGGTACAACATTTTTAAGAAAAAAACTCCGTCAAACTGAGTTAATATAAAATTATAGATATACATCCATGTGTCTTCTGCTTTTATTTCTTCACTGATATGACCTGAGTATAACCAGGCACTTCAAGTTTTTATATGGCATATTCTTGTGCTCTGTCGCAAATGGACTCCTAAATTCATTCTATACTGGTGCTAATTCCCAGGCACTAAGTCAAAGTAGCCGACGTTTCATGATTTACGTTCATTCAAAAGGCATGATAGTTGATGACGAGTATGTGATATTGGGATCTGCAAACATCAACCAGCGCTCTATGGAAGGAACAAGGGACAGTGAGATTGCTATGGGAGCTTATCAACCTCATTATACCTGGGCAAGAAGACATTCTTATCCTCGTGGACAGGTATATTTTATTGGCAATTAGTCATTTTAATGGCAAGCCATTTTTCATGTGACCATATTCTATCTTCACCCTAGGCATTCTGGCAAAGAAGTTGATCATAATTAAATATCTGATAGTCATAGGGAAATTCCCGAAGGTGCTGCTTAATAGAGAGACATGAAATATGAGCATGATGCATGATAAAGCCAATTTTTTATGGCAAGATAGCTTAATGCCATGAGAAGTAAATTAGGGTCGTATGTGCACTACCACGGTTATATTCTCAACTATCTGTGGACAGATTCTTATAATAGAAATATTTCATTGCTTGACGTCTCTAGACAAATTCTTCATGATAATGAAGCCACAAAGCTGGGTCTTGGGGTTGTCTTCTGATTCCTCTATGCCCTAAGAGTAGAAACGTAACTTTGTCTAGGGATATCATGCAATAAAATGTCTACCTATTGAACAATACTTCAATCAGCTTCTTTCTCTGGTATCAGGGAAAGTTACCAACTAAGTGTCTACTCTAGTTCTGATTGATGCAAAACAATCAAGTACGTACTGTGACTAGAATATCAGTGTTTTCTCATATGTGCTGTCAGGGATCCATTTAGAGTGAGAGAGGGAAGGTGAGGCCCAGTGGGATCTGCTTACCCTTCTCTCTATCCCCTCGCTAAATCTAAAGGCCCTAGATCTGTATTTTCATTATGGGATTACGAAAGAACACATTAAGGTGGCATGTGGTATATAAAATATCCTATTTTCCCTAATATTTGGAAATCTGTATGTAAACTTTGACTAGTTAAGGTCAGTCAACTCAGATAGCTCCCCCACTTTTGGAGATTATGTTTCCTTGTACCTAACGCCACCTAAAAAACTTAATTATTTTGGTTTTAATTTGTTTTCCCTTCATACCACTTTGGTGCATTATGATTCCTGTACTTAGACCTGACTGCCATTCTTCATGAAACTGCACCATGTAGATCCATGGATATAGGATGTCGCTCTGGGCAGAACACACAGGAACAATTGAAAACTGCTTCTTGCAACCGGAGGGCCTGGAATGCGTCAGAAGAGTAAGAGCAATGAGCGAAATGAACTGGAAACGATTTGCAGCACCAGAAGTAACGGAGATGAAAGGGCACCTACTGAAATACCCGGTAGAAGTTGATCGAAAGGGAAAGGTTAGATCCCTCCCTGGCCATGAAATTTCCCAGATGTTGGTGGCAAAATAACGGGGTCATTTCTAGCCATTCAGGAGAATCTTACCATTTGATGAATTTGAAACATTCACTTCGTCCTCCTAGCCATTAGAATGAGATGGATGTAAGTTACAAAATAGAATATTTTATAGTTTCTGGGAAATAATTTACACCATAGAGGAGTTGACAATTCTTAAGTGCGTCATACTCGTTGAAAATACAGATACGGTGTACAGTTTTGTAACTTGGACTTTTTGGTTATTCTTTTGCTTTGCCGGGAGGAAAAAGCTAGAGCCTACTAGCCACATGTATTTCAGGTTAGATGGCTGGTTTTTGTTCATGTGAATATTGTAATAACAAGAACTATGGATGATTTTCTATAGATTACTCGTAAAATTTCTAATTGTTGCTCTTCGAATATTATGAAATATGGTTGGCCAAATAAATTATGATGTATTTTGTATGAATTGGCTCTTTTTTGGAGCACATTGTAATTGATTTTATTAGATGATCAACTGGTCCTGGTGATTAGTGAATACATCGTGATAGAGGTGATAATATAATGCGGGGATTGGTTGTAAAAGGATCTCTGGCGGGTTGTGTATTTTACCGACTGACCCCACCAACCCGTCACTTTTTTTTTAATTTTTTTTGTCTTTTGTTTCCTTTTAATGGAAACGATAAATAAATATCCTCAAAATGTCAAAAACCTAATTCAGTGACCTCAAATTGGTCTCTAGGTGTTAATTTTGGATTTGCAAATTTTGTTAAAAGACCACATTACCCTTAATTCTTTGGAAAAAAAGATACAAAAATAACACTTCAACTTGAAAATCTCAAAATGATAACTTGAATAAGCAAAATCCTAATTTAGGTATAAGTGGCTAATTTTCACAAATTTGCTGAAATGATCTTATTACTCTTTTTTTAAAAAAAACAAATACCCTCACTAACCGATCGGTCGTCGGAGCTTTGATGCCAGCTGTGGCTGCCAGAGCTCAAGTGGCCATCGTCACCAGAGCTCTGGTGGTTGGCCGACAATCAGTTGCTGGAGTTTCGGTGGCTAGCAACTATTATTTTGAAAATTTTTACAACTTCAGTAGTAACATGGTTAACAAGTTTTACAACGTTATTAACAAGTTCAGTATAACAGTTAACAATAGGTCTTTCAGGAAATTCAAAAAGTGATATTTTCACAACTTCAATAGTGCTATTAACAAGTTCTATAACTCTATTGACAAGTTTGGTATAGCATTTAAAAACAAGTTTTCTGAGAAATTCAAAAAGTAACATTTTTACAATTTCAATAATACGGTTAACAAGTCATATAATGATATTAACAACTCTCATAAATGTTGATATTTTTAATATTAGCTCCCTATGAAGTTTATACAACAAAATTTTTTCACTTATTAGATAGCCATTATGGTTATGAGAGTTGTTAATATCATTATATGATTTGTTAACTATGTTACTGAAATTGTAAAAATGTCACTTTTTGAATTTTCCAGAAAGCCTATTGTGTTAAATGCTATACTGAACTTATTAATAGAGTTATGAAACTTTTTAACAACATTACTGAAATTGTAAAAATGTTACTTTTTGAATTTTCCAAAAAACTTGCTGTTAATTGATATACTAAACTTGTTAATAGTGTTACAAAACTTGTTAACTGTGTTGCTAAAATTGTAAAAAAAAAAATTTAAAAAAATAGTTGCTAGCCACGGGAGCTCTAGCGACTGATTGTCGACTGATCATCAGAGCTCCGGTGACAGTAGCCACTTGAGCTCTGGCGGTTGCCGCTAGCACCGAAACTCTTGCGACCGGCAGCTGGTGAGGGTATTTGGTTTTTTAAAAATGATAAAAAAAAATAAAAGATAATATGGTCATTTTAACAAGTGTACAAATTACATATAAATCACTTATGCTTAAATTAAAATTTAACTTATTTAAATAATTATTTTTAGATTTTTAAGTTTAAGTGTCATTTTTGCGTATTTGTTATGCTTCTCTCCCATTTTCATCTTGCGACACTCATCCCCTCACAGCCCTGACACCATCAATAGCAACTACTTCCCCATTGGCCGCGCAACTGTCATCAGCATCTCGTCCCACCCACTACTGCGACTCTCCTTCCCCACTTCCGTCCCTCCATCGTCTTCCCCGGCCACAACTCGTCGTCGTTGCTTACTTCTACCATCATGCCCTAGTATTTCTCACACCCTATTGTAACAATTCATTACACAGTAGACGGCCTCCACACTTTCCTCGCCGCAACTTCGTCTCTGCGTTCTCCCATGTTTTCCCCCGCCCGCACCTCCCCCTCCCCCTTCTAGTCTTCGTTGCTCGCTTCTCATTCCTAGTCGCGACCTGGCCAATGATCTTATTACTCAGGTATTATTCTTTCTATATTGGTGGCCTTGACCAATTTTCTAACTAGGAAGAAGAATTGCCCATTCTTGCTAGTGTTTATAAATCTACTATCTTTTATGTAATTCGGGCCTATGAGTTTTCTAAATTGATTGTACAAGCATAAACTTCGGTAGTCAATGTTCAGGGTAACCGTTGGGTAGTTAATGGGATTGGAATAATTTTATACTCCTATGCTGTAGTAGTTCGAAGCAGTAACGATGAAGTGTCGTTATTGACACTTGGAACCTTTTAAAGCTTGGTATGGTATGCTCCATTATTGGAAGAATTGAAGCTCACTTAATCGGTTGAACATTTTGCTATGCATTGAAATGAAATGTGATACTTCACCCTTCCACTTTTTGGGACTGGCGATCCGTTAAATTCAAGATTATTAATATGTGATTTTTGCTTCTGATTATTCTTGAGGGAATGTACAGAATCAGGAATAATTACACTATAAAAGGAAGGAGAGGTGGAGAATAAACAAGAAAAGTAGCACCAGAGGCAAGACTGCTCATAATCCGAGGTCAAATTCTAGCCTAATTGTGATTGGTATTTGAAAATAAGATGAGTCATAGATGATTCCAGTTTCTTTTTCAGTGTCTTGGTTTCCTGCAGTTCGTCCAATAAAGAACTCTACATTCGACAGCAGTTCACCAGGAAACAGCTACATCACATATTCACATTCTAGTTAAATGTGATTGGTAATCAGTTTGAGCCACAGATCATTTCAGTTTAGCGGTTTCAAGCTGCAAGTCTAGTTAAAAACTTCACTACAGCAATTTAGCAACCTAAGCACCCTATCATGGGAGTTCAAGTTTTCAACGCATGCCCTCTTCTTTGTACCCATGTGTCTAAACCACTGAATTTTCCTTTCTTTTTAATGAACGGAGAAAAAAATTTAAGAGAAGAGTATCGTGGGTCAATAATCCAATATCATGGATGCAATTTTAAATCAGTAATTAAATATATTTAAATGATTGAATACAAGGGCCTCTTGGATAAAACCTAGGGTTTCAAAATATTTTGAGCTCATCAAACATTTATATACAACTTAACTACATAATTTTTCAAATCAAAGAAACATGTCACGGAAAATTAGTATACAATTTCAGGGTAGGATAGAAGCAATTAGTATAACAACACCTGCTACCTTCCCTCAAGTGATTGTAGTCGCATTTCATTTTTGAACATCTGGATGGTTGATTACTCTTCTTCTAAAACAATATAGAACTGGCTAAAATGTGTTGTCAATTGTGAAACTATTATGATGAATAGCTAATTTGTTGTAGTCAATTGCTAAAGAAGTACTGCAAATAATCTGAATGAAAGGTCTGAATTCAAGGACGAGGCCTTTTATCAGAACATCATGAATCCATATCCAGTATCTCCTCTGTAGGAAAACCGGCAATGCATATCACAGCTATCCCAATGCTATCTGACTCAGGCGGCGTTAACTTCGTGTAATTATTGTCGAAAATTGTTTGTTTCATGGACTTGGAATTGACAACTGACTTTCTCTGCAGTGTGCATGTGTTGATATCACGGTATGGTTAAGCAAATGGGACATTGAAATACACAAATAAACAAGTGATTGCGTTTAGCTGTAATCTCTTGTGATGGCTGCTTAACCATAATGAATATTGTTAAAGGGCTAAAGCTTTGGAGTTGCCTGAACAGTAAAAAAGATAACAAAGCGGCAGCACTTGTCGAAATACTGAAATAGTGAGCAGGGTTGTTGCTAGTTGAATTTATGTGATTATGATGTATGAATTAGGTGTTTATTGCTTTATCAAACCTTTTGACAATTGTGTAGTATCTAGTAACTACTTGTGTTTGAAAGACACTGCCTGAATTATGTAATATTTATTTGTTAACAACATCTTTATGTGTATTCATTATAAGTAATGTGGGAAATTCATAATAGGACATATCAATTGTCATCACATAAATATATTAACAATTTTGTTAGGTATGGTGATAATTCTTCCAAATAGATTAACAACAAGTAATTAGAAAAATTTATTACAACTTTGTTACTCTTCCAAATATGGATTAATAATACTTTTATATGCGTTGACAACAAATAACCAAAGAAATTTATTACAACTTTGCTAGGCCCATTGAAGACTCTTCCAAATAAATTAACAATAATTTTATATATATTGACAACAAGTCATTAGCAAAATTTATTAGAAGACAAGCCAATTAAGAAACTCAATCAAATCATATGTTGCTTCCTTGTTATGTGCATTGACAATTCTTTCATATTGATTAACAATACCTTTTATATAAATGAATTACACTAACTTGCTTTCTACATTATCTTTTCTTTTGTCAATTTATCAAGAATAAGCTTGACTTTTACCGACATTTGAAAATGACAAATTAGTACTCCTGTTCTGGAATGGGCTTTTGCTTTTCATTAGCACTGATATGGGATTTTGTATATTTAGGAGTATTTTCTTGTCCTTTTTTCCTCCTAATAAAATCTATTCCACTTTCTAAATATCTAAAATAAAACATCCAAATAGAAATTATTATAAATAAAACGTGAAATCCAAACATCCCAAATTATTAAACATACATGACACATCCTGAATTATTAAACATAAATGTCAAATTAAACCAACACAATATCACAATCAAGTGGTGAACCATCATCTACCATTCAATATTATGGAGACGTTGCGTTTTGCAAGGGAGGAAAAGAATTTTTTTTTTTTTTTAAAGGCTAGCCTACCAACCTTGCGGGTTAGCTTGCCACTAGTTCGGTCTTGGTAGTTACAAGCTTAAAAAGTCAATTTTAAAACAAGCTAGATTTTCATCAATCTAACCTACCATTTCTTGGCTGTTTGACATGTTGAGCCCATAGACTCAACTTATATTATCGGCTCTACATTGTGAAACTTCACTGTATCTATAATTTGATAATTATTTGCGTGAGAAGTGGACGGCATTAAGTTCCTATAGACTTAAAATAGCACCACATTTTTCAATTTAATTTTTTATAATATTTATTGATTTATTAATATTTGTAATTACCATTGTTCCTTATTTTTAATTAAAAATTATTTTTCATTTTTATTTCAATTCATTTATTTTTATTTCATTTGATTATTATTGACATTATATCGAATTGATTTTAAAAATTCATTGACTAGTTGCTCCAACAATAATGCCATCAATCACACTTGGATGAAGTTCCACATTTGAGCTCACAATATCAACAACTTTAGACTAGCAACATAAAAGCATAGTTCCTTTTCTCCAAACTACTCTTCCTTTCCTAAATATAAGATCCATTCATAATACAATTTATACTATAAAATGATTCTTATATCATAAAGTGGTATTTGTTTGGGGAATATTTCAGCTATTAACAATTTTAAATCCGTTTAAGATGTGAGCATGAACAAAAGAAGATTATAACTTGAAAATTTTTGAATTATAATTCAATATCGTATGCAGTTTACCTGCTGTTAGCCCTCTAATCAATTCATTATCCATCCTCCATAATCAATCAGTCAAGATGCGGACCAAAAGACAAGCCCAAACAAGATGCATAGCCAAATCAAGACCTGTTTCAAGATAGTTTGGGATTTGTCAGCACCTGTGCCGCGCAGTGGCATGGTAGCCACCTGTTGGTGGCTCTTAACAGGTTCAATCCCTGCCCGCAAGCGGAGCTTGCCTACTCAAAAAAAAAAAAAAAAGAAAGATTGTTTGGGATTTAATCCCCTTTTAGCCTAGCTGTTTTAATTTTTGGATTTTATCTCTCTTCTTGTACCCAAAAAAAGAAATACCTAGTTGAGGTGAGGGCAGAAAAGACAGAGAAAGAGGTCCTTTTAATTCTCTCCTCGCTTCAACAGAAATCTACTTCAGATATCAACTCTTCATTTTCCGAGAATGCCATTTTCTTCACATGACACCATTCATAGATATATATCCCATCTAAGGCGAATTTTCACGGGACATTTACAAGCTTTGCACGTCTAGTTTTCTGATCAATTTCCACTCTAAGTCCAAGTGCCGAAATTTCCGGCACATCAACAGATCCCTGAACCTCCAACTCTGCAACAGCCCTTTGGTTCTCCTCATTCCCCTCCAACATATTCCTCACTGACCATATTCCCCACTCTCTAAGGAATGGATTGTCCTCATCAGTAACGCATTGTTGCAGTAGGAGTATAATTCCATTTTTCCCCCTTATCTCATCTTGTGCATGCTTTCTTCTGTACAAACAATTGCCAACAAGAGCAACAATGTCTCTCCTGAATCCCTTGTACAGGCAGGGTTTCCGCAACCTAGATGCTTCAGCTTTGTCTCGCTTCTCAGATTGTTTTATTGCTTTCCTGATTATTGCTGGAGGCTCAAGATCGTGAAGCAGAGACAAAAGCAAATCAATGAGGCCTTGTGATAACAGTTCGTTAACAACATCCTCTGATTCCCCTTTGATACCTCCTTTCACATCATCTTGGGCACAAATATCTCTCATTATGCTGATAGAGTATCCTAGAACGTCAATGGCAGCACAGCCGGTAGGTATACCAGACTTGGCTTTAGGGGCATGCTCGAGAACTCCAATAGAGTGCTTGAATATTTCATAAACAAACAATGCAACATCCCTTGTAACAGCAACATCAGTGATCCTTTCATTTAAGATTTCTGCCACAATTTCCAAAAGAAATGCCTGTTCAGATGATAACTGATCATCTCTGAATTCAGAAACTTCACCCTCAGAAGCAGCTCCAGACCATAACTTAGAGAACAATAGAGGCAACTGAGATTCTTCCAAGCAGATTCTTGAAAGGAGTAACTTTAACCAATCCTCTCCAAAACCAACTGGGTCATTAGAAACCAATGAATAAGAGAATAATAGAAGAGAAGAAATATAATCAGTGATACAAACTAAAGCAACTCTCAAAAACCTAATGACAACAAATACATCTTACAACTTACCAAGAGAAGCAGTTCTTATAATTTCTACCATTATGGGCCACCCACTATCACTGTACAGCTTTCTCACCAATTCAGGATTTCCACCATAACATGTATAAATTATCATACACAAAGGGTCGCAAGTCCCCCTATTCCGGAGTCTTGCCAGAGATACAAAACCATTAGGATAGAGTTCTTCCCAAATAGCATGCTGATGGTCTTTCCCAGCCAACGAAACATTTGCCAAAACTTGCAAACAGACACGGGCCAATCCCTGATCTGGGTCCGAACAACTTGCCACCGACCTTAAAACATTGGAGACAATACCAGCCCCCTTGAGCTCAACAAATGAGTTCTGATTTGCAATCTCTCCAGCGCACAGATTTCTAAGGAGCTTCAAAGACAATGGAAGAAAATGATGCTGTGAAGTACATGGCGCAGAATGAATTATCTCCAGCACTGCTGGAAGAATTCCTTTAGAAGAAAGCTCCGAACGCCCAGAAGCAGATTTGGAAATTTCTTCGAAAATTTCCAAGGACTTTTCCAAGTCAGTCGAGCTTGAAGCCCCAAACAATAACCGAAGGGTTTGTTCTGATATGGGGTACTCCAATGTATCGGTATCACCCATTACATATAAGAATGAAAATAAAGATTGAATAATGCGGAAAAAACCCACAATTATTGTTTGAAACTCGGTTCTAATCCTGCAGAAATTTAGCCAAAAAAGAAGAAGAAATAAATATATATACAAGAAGGCTAGAAACTACATGCATACAAACACGATGATAAAACCACTAGAATAAAATGGTGGATTCTGCTGTTATCTAGGTAAGGATTAATGAGAGAAATTGTGAATTTTGGAAAGATGAATAGAGAGTCAGAGAGCCAGACACCTTGCACTATATGATAATAATATAGGAAATCTATCAACCAAACTCAAGCACTGGAAATTTAATTGGCAACATTAAAATAGAACAATCCTAATATCCATTTGACATCTCTTTGGCTATTCTACTTTCAGATTTCATTCACATGGACGTTTATTCATTGGTCTGGATTTAAAAAATTGAAAAAAAACAAACACATACAAATTTCAAATGCCCACAGCCCATACACCGAATGTTTTAATTTCACTTCTTCAACCTCAAAGATCAATTCAGATAATTAGATTTCATATCACTCATAGCTGGAAGCCTGAAACACGGAAGCAAGACCAAGAAAGGAAAAAACAGAGCACATCGAACTGAAAGAAAATAGCAAACCAGGCAACAAGACCACAGAAGCTGAAAACAGGTAGAAGGAGAAGGAAGAACCTCGGGCTGCGACCATGGATCTACCACCGTAAAGAAGAAATGACGATGGGGAGTGACGAGCTGCTGCCTCCAAATCTGATCGAAGAACCAAGAACGACGACCTCTGCTTCGACCAGGACGACTTCACGCGAAGACCGGCGACCTCTGACAGCGAAGAAAGCGGCAGCTACAGTGAGGGTTGATTTTGGCTACGGATTTTGGAGACTGGAGATCAGACTTGCGATGACTGCGATTTTGGAGCTCTGCCGGAGACCGCCGTGCCGTCAGTGACGCTAGGGAGCAAGGATTTTGGAGGAGGCGATTTTGGTTTTAGGGAGGGAGACGAGCTGTGCGCGAGCCAGAGGACTGAGGAATCAGATTCACGGGAGGGAAACGGAGGAGTTCGACGGGAAAGGAAATTAGGAAAGGAAGAAGGATTTTTTCTTTTAATCAAAACGATGTCGTTTCGTGGATTTGGCAGACAAATAGTTATGACCGGTTCAACTGGCTTTTTACCGGTTCGATTGGCCCCCGATCCAGCTACTGAACCGGACCGGATTGCAGACCGGTTCACTGGTTTTTTGGTTGAACCGGCCGGTCCGGTTTGGTTTTTTTTTTCTTTGAGAATAATCCTCATTCTTCCACCGTTCTGCTCCCTCCAACTTCATGAGAAGATGGTAATAATATCCCTTTGCCCTAAATGAAAACGCACAGTTTTATTCTTTTTTTATAAAAAAAATAAATCTGAGGTCCTCCTTTATTTATCATAATAATTATCTACAATGTGTTTTCAAATTTTTCTCAGTAATAAATATTCTTATTTTATAATTTCACAAATAAACTATTTATATTTTATCATAATAATTTTATATATATTTTTAAACTATTATCATATTAAAAACATAAAATTTCAAACACTACTATTTAATAAAGTCTATATCTTTTTCAGTTATTTTACAACTAAACTAACTTTTCTATTAATTATCCAAATAATTTTCAATTTTTTCAACTGACTTTTTAGAGGCACATATCTAAACGTAAATCATATTACACTAACTGACTTTTACTGTAACTTCAGTTACAAAAGTTAGTTGGATTAGAAGTCAATTTTATTCAATATCAATCTAAATATACCCGAAGACGGGGATTATTTAACAGCTCAACCCACCCATGATGAGAAAAGCAACGGCGGGGACAAAGGAGGAAGAAGAATTTGCCTCCCCCCCCTCCAACTTCTTCCCAGAAAAGTGCATGGAAGCCAATGGATGGTTTTGGGGAAGTGCCTAAAAAATTCTGAGTAGGACTACAATTTTTCCTTTTATTTTTTGGAAAAATCTGCAGCTACTTTTAACTTTGTAAGAATTATTATAAAAATATTTTTAAAATTTTAAATCAATCTTATTTACTGCATTCTAATAACAATCGATAACATTTAAAAAAATAAATGATAACACATTTTTTTAGTTTGAAATTTTAAAATTTTAGAGGTATTTTTTAAAAATTTTCTCCCATATTTTTCTCAATTTCTAATTTAATACTTGCATATTTTTTTCAAAAGATAAAAGCATACAAGTATCGAATTAAAAATTAAAAAATAAAGATATCTGTAAAATTATTTTTCTTTCGTTTTTTGCTTTTAGCTCATGAGCATTTGTTTGAATTGACTTTTTGATGTTAGCAAAAATAAAATAAAAAACTTTTGCATTATTTAGGGATTTTATCAAAAGTATTTTTTTTTCATTTTATAAAAAGTAGAAATTATTTTACATTTGGTTATCATCATAAAAAATAATTTATTTTTTGGTGGAAATATCAATTAATTAATTTCATAGAAATAGAATAAATACATATAGATAGAGAAATTTAGGAGGTGTTTGAAAAACTTGTCAAAATCACTTTTCGAGCTTAAACCATGGTTTTAGGGTATAGGTTGCCAAACACTCCACATTTTTATGAAACCATGGTTTGGCTCCAAAATCATGATTTGACCCACCTAAACCATGGTTTTATGCAAAGCTAAAAAAAAAGTTGCTTTTAAAAAATATGGTCTTTTTTTTACATTGTAATACTATCCCTAGTTCTCAATATAAGAGCTAGTTAACTAATTGAGTAAATTAAGAAAATTAGTTTAGTTAGTTATTTATAATAAATAGGTATTATTTTCCTTAAAATATTCTTTCTAATCATGTGTATTAACTAAAAGTACCGTTTGATAAAATATTTAACATGTGTAACTACTATAATGACTACTTTAGAAAAAATAGATAAATATGAGAAACAAAATGGATTAAGGTTTTATATTTAAAACCAAATTGAATATCAAAATACTCCTCCGGTCCTTAATATAGGACCCAATTGTTGAGTTGGTTTTGGTTCTAAATATAAGACCCATTTCTTATATTTATCAGTTTTCTTTAAATTACCCCTATGGATACTCCCTCAACCATAATCAAGTAGAAGAAGGAGATGAGGTATTAAGAAAGATAATTATGGTGTTTTAGGAACAATGTGTCACTTTTCTTATAATTAACTAACTTACCTAACTTTCTTAATCTAATCAAATTAGTTAGATGGATCTTATATTAAGGACCGGAGGAGTAGCTCTTATATTAAAGATCGGAAGTAGTATGTTGTTGAAAAAACTAGTTGTGAAAAAATATCGTGGGATTTCATGTTTAAAATCTTTAAGGCAAAATAATATTTTTCTATTGGCAAAAAAATAATCATTTTTCTAAAAACAAATTTAATCTTATATTTTATAAATACATATACATATTAATTATTTATTAATTATATTTTTATATATTATTTATTATGTTGGAAAAAAAATATTATTAACAAATTTATTACTTCAAATAAAAATATATTATAAAATCTATCTTTTATGTAATTATCATATTAACTTACGTCCTTTTTAGTAATTTGCACGTATAAAAAGTACTTCTGATAATAACTATCCAGACACTCTCACTTTATTAGAAACATTTTTTTGCAAAATCTATTCCTAAAAATTTTGGCCAAAAAAAAATCTATTCTTAAAAATAACTTTTCTCTTAGAAATTATTCTCTAACCTATAGTTTGTTTTTATCCAAAAACCCCCTCTCCCTCTTAGAATAGAAAGGGTTCTTAACCATTTATTCCAAAATTTCTAGTATGACATGGAACATTTACAACATATGCAAAGAAAGGACGAGAGATCCTGCTATATTGCATACTTTTAAGATAATTCCCATCAATTGGTCTCACATTTCTTTTAAAAGACAAAAACTTTCACATTCACTTAGCTCTTGTATCATTGTAATGCTTGAAAGAATGTATTCCCCATTCAAAGTATAAATTTCTAATAATTAAATTACGCTATTCAAAAAGTTAGTTAAAATTACTTTAAGATAATAAATATATAAAAAAAATATAATTTATTTTTTTAAAACACCCTAATTTATGCAAAGGTTGAGTGGGAGAGAGAATGAGTGGGAAAAAAAAGATAAGAGAGAATGAATAGAAAAAAGAGATAACAAAGACATATAATTAATTATGAGTAAAAATGAGTAAAATGATTAAACAAATCCAAATTAAAACTTCTAAAAAACATCCTATCCCTTAGAAATTTTGAAACTTATATTTTCAGCAAGAGGGAATAGTAATTAAAGCCTATTCCCACCAGCCTTTATACCTCCTACGTATACTTGCATATTTATCATCAATCCAATTCATAGCATTACATAACTTTATATTTTGAAAATTCTACAAATTTTAGTGAAGGAGAAGGTGACAATATGTATTCACTAAGAATAGACACAAATGAGATATTCAATCCAATCCAATTAAAAGATAACAATCAATCCAATTAAAAAATAGGGAAAATTAATTTGCTAGTCTTTAGAGTTTAACTAAGTTTTGCATCAAGTTGCTATAATTTTCTGTTCTTTTTATTGAGTACTTATTGTATTTTTAGTTTTAATGAGAGTCTTTCCATTATGACACCGTTAGTTTAGACTTGTGGTACCTATCTGCTTGCAGAGCTTCTCTCTCACTCCTCCACCCAGTCTATAAACACTATTTTCTCTCCCTCTGTATCATCATCATCTTCTGGCCTGCCTTGCCCAACCACACCCCTACTCTTCTTCCTTGCTCTACTTTAAGAAGCAGTATCCTCTTGAATCTTCTTCATATAAGGATATTTGGTTACACTTGCTGTCACAACCATATTAAACAGTTGGTCTCTTTGAACTCTTCTGCAAACTTTGAAGTAAAGTCTTTAATCTCGCCATGTGAGCCATAAACGTCAATTAGGTGAGTATTAGGATCAGCTAATGCCTCCATAACTTTTCCCAAGATTGGCTTTCTCCATTTTAAAGAATCAAAAGCATTGGAATTGGACATCATCCTCTCATGTTGGGCCATAACTTCCATTCCATAACAGTGTGATTCTTGCAACAACTTAGTATGAGACTTGTTCTAGTTCTTGTCTTGCAACTGAGGCTTGTGTGTATGGGATTTGGTTAAAGTGAGATAACGACAAAGAAAATGTGAAATTGTAGCAACACCAATAATTCTAACAATTGCTATAGCAGACTGCAACATTATTATTAATTCTGTAATGAAACTCAAGACATGATAAAACATAATTTGTTGGGAGCACAAAGTAGAAATGATAGAGGAGTACCTTTCAGCTTTCACAACGAGATCTATGAGAAGACTAAAAAGATTGTTGTTTGGGTCATGAAGAAATTAGCTTCTTTTTTCTGAAAATCCAATACCATAGGTGAGGAAGAAATAATAATAGAGTTTAGATACCATACTATGAAGGGCTGAGAGAGAAAATGGAAGAGGAGTGAGAAAGAAGGAAGACAAGGAGACGAATGTTGGAATATTTTTAAAATGAAGATATGTGTTTTGGAGAAGAAGTTATGTCTTCATATAAATTATGAAATTTATTTGAAGGGTTGTGCTCTCGTATAAATTAATATATTTATATGAGGGGTTGTGTCATTGTTAACTGTATGTTATATACTAAATAGAGTTTCTAATAAAAGGAACAAGATAACCGCATATGAATTATAGAAGAAAAGAAAACCCAATTTCAATTATTTTAGAGTTTGGGGATGTAGAACAATAGCTAAAGTTCCAAAACCCAAAAGGAAAAAATTGGGTGAAAGAAGAGTTGCATGCATCATTTTGGGATATGGTGAAAATAATAAGGTATATCGATTCTTGGTGATTAAACCAAATGATTCATACCCTATTAGTAAAGTTATTGAATCAAGGGATGCAATGTTTCAAGAACAAAGGTCCAACTCAATCCTTAAACCCAATAGTATTTCTCATTCCAATAAGAAAACAAATCAAGAGGAGCATGTATCTAGTGGCAATGACTTAGAAGAAATGGAACTTAGAAGAAGTAAAAAGGCTAAAA